TTTGGACCTGAGGTTCCTGCGCTGAGAAGCCCCTAGTCCGGGGAAAGATTGATGACAAGGACCTTCCTCCAGAGCCGACAGAGAGAGAACGCCTTCCCCTGGAGCTGATGCCCTGAATTCGGACTTCTAGCCTACTTGACTGTGAGAGAATAAACTTCTGTTTGTTGAAGCCATCCACTTGTGGTATTTCTGTTATAGCAGCAGTAGATAGCTAAGACAACTATATTGTATTTGTCCATTCATCAGTTGATGGATGTTTGAGTTGTTTCCACTTTTTGGCTTTTATGAATTGTGAACATTCTCCCTGTCAGTTTTTTGTACTGTGGGGGCTTGCCTGTTGCTGTGATGCTGGAAGCTATGCTACTGGTATTCAAATACCAGCAGGGCCACCCATGGTAGACAGGTTTCAGCTGAGCTTCCAGACTAAGACAGACTAAGAAGAAGAACCTGGTGGTCTACTTCTGAAAAGAATTAGCCAGTGAAAACCTTATGAATAGCAGTGGAACACTGTCTGATACAGTGTTGGAAGATGAGCCCCTCAGATTGGAAGGCAGTCAAAATATGACTGGGGAAGAGCTGCCTCCTCCAAGTAGAGTTGACCTTAATGACATGGATGGAGTCAAGCTTTTGGGACCTTCATCTGCTGATGTGGCATGACTCAAAATGAGAAGAAACAGCTGCAAACATCCATTAATAATCGGAACATGGAATGTATGAAGTACGAATCTAGGAAAATTGTAAGTCGCCAAAAATGAAATAGAACACTGAAGATAGATATCCTAGGCATTAGTGAGCTGAAATGGACTGGTATTGGCCGTTTTGAATCGGACAGTCATATAGTCTACTATGCCAGGAATGACAACTTGAAGAGGAATGGCGTTGCATTCATCATCAAAAAGTACATTTCAAGATCTATCCTGAAGTACAGTGCTGTCAGTGATAGGATGATATCCATATGCCTTGGTGTACAAGTTTTTTTGTGGACATGTTTTCAGTTCTCTTGGGTATATCACTAGGAGTGGAATTGTTGGGTCATATGGTAATTCTGTGTTTAACTTTTTGAAGAACTGCCAGTCTGTGTTCCAAAGCTGCCACTGAGTTATATTTCAATTTCAAATAAATAATGAATAATTTTTTTTTAGTATAAGTTTGTCCCATGCAATACTTGGAACATATTTATGCTAAAAAATATATGTTGTTTATATGCAATTCCAATTTAACTGGATGTCCTGTGTTTTATCTGGCAATCCTACACCAAGTGAACTTCAGGTTCTAGCTCACATACTCTAGGTGATGGTGAGCTCACCCCCTGTCATGATTGACTGTCCTGCTCTGCCTGGTTCTGCCTACAAGTTCTTTTTTAGCCTAGGCTGGGGTGAACATGTGACCCAGGGCTGACTAATCAGAGTCTTCCACCTACTTCAGCCACTGTGCTTGGTTCAGGGTGGACATATGAACCAAGCTTAGCCAATCAGAGCCTTTCCTGGGACTTCGGCTGAAAGAGTGGCTCTCTGTACTGGGGTGGCTCGTTTGGGCAGATGAGGAGCTGTTGGAGGGAGAATGACCAGAGAGATCTGAAATGCCCCTGCGACACCTGGAAGCTCCTACACAGTCTCCAAAACTCCCAGATGACCTCTCAATGAACAAGAGAGAGTGTTTATTGAATGAACAAATAAATTTTTTCTTACAAGCTTCTACATATCCATCAAAACCCTCCTTAGATGTCTCTGTGAGGATCGTCAGGGAGAGTGGTTGTTGAATGAACAAATGATTTTTTCCTCCTGGTGAACTTCTACATATGTTTTAAAACCCACTTCAAATGACCCTCTGGGAGCATCAGAAATTGAATGAATTAATGAAAAATGTTCTTATTGGTGAACGATGTTTATAAATGTGATTGTTGTATGAACTAATAGATTTTCTCCTTGCAAACTCCTCCTTATCCTTCAATACCCTCCTTAGATGCCCCTCAGGCATGAGGTCTCTTGGCCACATGGAGGGAAGCCTGGCCCTCCTCAGGGTGAAAGTCACTCTCCCTGGAGAGGAGGCAGAAGCTATGAGGGTGGGGGAAGTTCTGCGGTTCCTCCTGTCACGATTTCCGGGCCCCTGTGACCTGCTGCAACCTGTCTTCCTCCCTTCCCCCAGTCTGTGGGGCCATGGAAAGTGGGGCAGCCTGGGGGCATATTCCAGCTGTACTTCTGGGGCAGCTGGGAGGGGCCGCTAAGGGGCCCCACATGGCTTCCTGGAGGAGGTGGCCAGGGAAGTTGGAGGGACGTGAGATGTGGTGAACCTCAGTACGAGCCTAGGACTGTGACCCCAATAAAGATGGAAACGCTACCTCACATGTGGCTGTGGTTTCCCCTGCTCCCACACCCTCCATGGCTCCCCAGCACCCTTTGGAGAAATCCGAGCCCCTCAGCCCAGCATTTTAGAGGCCTTTGCCCACCATACCAGCTTCCTCTCCCTCACAGAGCCCCAGACCAGCCACATTCATCCTGCTCCACCTTTGCCTCGGCTGTGCCCTCTACCCAGAATTCCCTTGAATTCTATAAATCCCAGCTAAAGTGCCCCCTCCTCCAGGCAGCCCTACCTATTCCCACTGAGGGCACCCCCAGCCCACATCCCTCCTCACCCCCAGCCCTGACCCAAGGTGCTGGGGCTGTCGGTGCCTGGCACTGGCCCTCCTCCTTCATCCCTGCTGCCCTCCCTCCATGTTTTTCCAGTGGCTTCTCCACTGGGAGAGTGGTGTGGCAAGGGCAGAGGCTCCTGTGGGGAGGAGAGGGACAACAACAATGATGGCAGTAATCATACCGGCTTTCCGCTGGGCAGCACCCACCTCAAGCCAAGCCCTCTGTGCCTCCCTCCTTCATCTTCACCAACAACCCATTTTGCAGGGGGGCAGACTGAGGGAAGCGCCATGTGGGGACATCCCTGGGGTGTGGACCTTACTACCGCAGGGCAAAGCTCAGCTCCCTGGGGGTGCTCTGGCTCAGAGTTCGAGTCTATCTCTCCACCTCCAGCCAGGTCCTCTGGGCATCTCTGGGCTCGGTTTCCACATCTGTGAAATAAGGCAGACGATGGCATCTCCCCGGGTAGGGGTCTCAGGATGGCCAATAGGGGGATCCCAAGTGTTCCCACCTCTGACTCTCTCTTCTGTCTTTCTTTATGTCTCTCTCCATCTCTGTCTGTCTCTCTGCATGTTTGTCCGTCTGTCTGTCTCCATCTCTGTCTATCTCTCTGTCTCTCTCCACCTCTGTCTGTCTGCCTCTCTCCATCTCTGTCTCTCTGCTTCTCTGCATCTCTGTCTGTCTCTCTCCATCTCTTTCTGTCTGACTGCCTCTCTCCATCTCTGTCTGTCTTTCTGCCTCTCTCTGTCTCTGTCTGTCTGTCTCCATCTCTCTGTCTCTCTTCATCTCTGCCTGTCTCTCCCCATGTCTGTCTGTCTCTCTCCATCTGTCTGTCTCTCTCCATCTCTGCCTGTCTCTCTGTCTCTCTCTCTGTCTGTCTCTCTCCATCTCAGTCCATCTGTCTGTCTCTCTCCATCTCTGTCTGTGTGTGTCTCTCTCCATCTTTGTCTGCCTCTGTCTCTGTCTCTCTCCATCTCTCTGCCCCTTCCCCCAGCCTCACACAGCAGCCACCCACCCACCCACTTGCCCCGGCCTGAGCCACGCGGCCCATGAAGGCTGCCCTGTGTAGGGTCACGGGTCCCTGTTCCCACTGTGCCAGGCTGGGGACATTGCCTCTTTGTCCCTGTGGCGCTGACCTCACGATCTGCTGGGAGCCTGACCCTGCCTGGCTCAGCTGCCACTCGGCTGGGCTCCTTGGAGGAAGAACCTCTTCACCATAGGCTGGGCCACATGCAGGCCCCTGCCTGCCTGGGCCTCAGTTTCCCCACATGCCCTCCCCCAGGAGAGACCCTCACCCCTTTCCTTAATCCCCCTGGGTTCTGCGGACATTTTTTAAATTGAGGTGAAATTCACGTAACATAAAGTTTGCGATTTTAAAGTGCACAATTCAGTGACATGCTGTGCAACCATCACCTTCTGTCTAGTTCCAGAACATTTTCATCATCCCAAACAGAAACTCTGTACACATTAGCTGTCACTCCCCATTCCCCTTCCCCAAGTCATGTTGTCGTTAGTTGCTGACAAGTCTATTTTGACTCCTGGTGACCCCAAGTGTGCAGAGTAGAACTGCTGCATAGGGTTTTCAAGGCTGTGTCCTTTCAGAAGAAGATCACCAGGCCTTTCTTCCTAGGAGTTTCTGGATGGGTTCGAAATGCCAACCTTTCAACTAGTCGTTGAGTACTTAACCATTTGCACTACCCAGGGACTGTCTCAAGCCATAGCAACCACTAATTCCCTTTCTGTCTCTATGCATTTTCCTGCTCTGGACATTTCATTTAAGTGGAATCGGACAGTATGTGGTTTTATCTGACTTTCTTCACTCAGCATAATGTTTTGTAGGTTCATCCACATCGTAGTGTGAATCATGGCTTCTCCACACACATTTTGGAGCGTTTGCTGGTTGGGAAAGGGATTCTCTGAGAGGTGAGAATCCAGGGTCAGGAGCCGGGGTCCAGGGTGCTGTAAGGCTGGAGTTTGGGAAACAAGGTGTCAGGCATCTTCTTGGCTCCCAACACAAAGTAGGCACTTCCTAGAGACTTGTTGGATGAAGGAACTTAGACCTCCAGGACGCTGGCCTCTGTTTCAGGTCCAGAGAGGGCTGGAGACCAGCCCACACAGGCGTCAACAGCTCACGGGGCTAGTTTGGGGTTTCCAGGCTGGGTGGGTTTGTGGTGGAGGGAGGCCCCCACCTCCGAGCCGACTTCCTGGGTTTTTCTTTCGCTTTGACTCCTCACCAGGAGGGGCTGTCACACCTTACACTTTTTTATCTTCTTTCTGACTCAGCTTCAATGTGTTCCGGGGCGGGGACGGGGTAGCTGGGGCCTTGCCGGTGGTGCAAGAGATTTCCTGGGCTGCAGGCTCCGCGTGGACCCGATGGAGTGGCTGGTGGCTAGGGTGGTCCTCCCTGTCCTCCTCCTCCTCTTCCCCAGGCAGACCGGTGAGTACCCCTATGCTGGAGCCAGGCTTCTCTCACTGACCTCGTGGAATCAGGTGTGTGTGAATGTGTGGAGAGCTGTGGGCCCAAGCTTGGTTTGGTTCTGTCTCTCTGTGCCTCAGTCTTTCTCTCTGCCAAATGGGAACATCATTGATGGCCACATTACTGAGCTCTGGGATCAGACTTGGACAACTCTCCTCTGGGTCTTGGTTTTCTCATCTATGGAATGGACTGAATTTTTCCGACTTCCCAGAGGACAATGAGAAAACAGCCAATGAAGGGCTAGAGAACAACTGCGTATATAACAGATATGCTATTGTTGTCCTTGTTAGTTGCCGCTGAATCGGCCCTGACTCATGATGACCCCACAAACAACAGAACAAAATGCTGCCTGATCCTGCCCAATCCCCACGATCAGTTGTGGATCAGACCCTTGTGATCCGTAGGGTTTTCATTGGCTGATTTTTGGAAGCTGATCACCAGGGCTTTCTTCCAAGTCTGTCTTAGTCTTGAAGCTCCATTGAAACCTGTTCAGCATCCTAGCAACACACAAAGCCCCACTGATAGATGGGTGGTGGCTATATATGAGGTGCACCGGCCAGGAGTCGAACGCTGGTCTCCCGCTTGTTGTTGTTTGTAGATGCCGTCGAGTCAGTTTCGACTCATAACAACTCCATGTGTAACAGAATGAAACATTGCCCAGTCCTGTGCTATCCTTATAATCTTTGTTATACTTGAGCCCATTGTTGCAGCCACTGCATCAATCCATCTTGTTGAGGGTCTTCCACTTTTTCGCTGACCCTCTACTTTACCAAGCATGACGTCCTTCTCCAGGGACTGATTCCTCCTGATAACATGTCCAAAGTAAGTGAGATGCAGTCTCGCCATCCTTGCTTCTAAGGAGCATTCTGGTTGTACTTCTTCCAGGACAGATTTGTTCCTTCTTTTAGCAGTCCATGGTATATTCAGTATTCTTTGACAACACCATAATTCAAAGGCGTCAATTCTTCTTAGGTCTTCCTTATTCATTGTCCAGCTTTCACATGCTTATGAGGCGATTGAAAACATCGTGGCTTGGGTCAGGCATAACTTAAAGTGAAATCTTTGCTTTTTAACACTTTAAAGAGGTCTTTTGCAGCAGATTTGTCCAACGCAATACGTTGTTTGATTTCTTGACTTCTGCTTCCATGGGTGTTGATTGCAGATCCAAGTAAAATGAAATCCCTGACAACTTCAATCTTTTCTCCGTTTTTCATGTTGTTGCTTACTGGTCCAGTTGTGAGGATTTTTGTTTTCTTTGTGTTGAGGTGTAATCCATACTGAAGGCTGTGGTCTTGGATCTTCATCAGTAAGTGCTTTAAGTCCTCTTCACTTTCAGCAAGCAAGGTTGTGTCATCTGCATAACGCAGATTGTTAATGAGTCTTCCTCCAATCCTGATGCCCCGTTCTTCTTCATATAGTCCATCTTCTCTGATATTTGCTCAGCGTACAGACTGGATAAGTATGGTGAAAGGATACAGCCCTGATGCACACCTTTCCTGACTTTAAACCACGCGGTATCCTTTTGTTCTGTTTGAAAGACTGCCTCTTGTTCTATGTACAGGTTCCTCATGAGCACAATTAAGTATTCTGGAATTCCCATTCTTCACAATGT